TCTCTCTCTCTCTCTCTCTCTCTCTCTCTCTCTCTCTCTCTCTCTCTCTCTCTCTCTCTCTCTCTCTCTATATATATATATATATATATATATATATATAACATACATATCGGAGTAGGGCCCGGGGCGGTGCCAGTAATCTCAATGGGGGGTGCAGGGCGCCCCCGGGAGCGTCCGAAGCGTCCCGGAGGGCCCCTGGGACCGCCAGGAACAGTTCGAGACCGCCCAAGACGGCCCGCGAGCGCTCCAAGACGCACATAGATAGCTTCAGGAATGGCCAGGACGGCCCGAAGACGTTCCAAGAGAGCTCCATGAGGCCCCGAAGGCATCCCAAGAGGCTTCCCAAGAGAGCGCCGACAAGCGAAAATCGTTGATTTCTATTGTTTTTTTATGTTTTTGGCCTTCTCGCTTTTTCGGGGTTCCGACGCTCCAAGACCGTCCAAGAGTCTCCCAAAACCGCTCCAAGACGGCCGAAGAGGCTCCCAAGACGGCCCAGGAGAGCCCCAAGATGGCCCAGGAGCCGCCCAAGACGGTTCCAGGAGAGCCCCGACAGGGCTTCAGCCGACGACGACGACGACGGCGACGACGACGACGACGACGACGATGACGACGACGACGACGACGACGACGCCCTCCTCCTGTCTGCTTTCTGGCGCCCTCCTGCCCCTGCGCTCTCCTCCTTCCGCAGCCGTGCAGACTCAAGCCCCTCTGTCCCATCTTCGTGGTGACGGAGTGGGGGGGGAGAGCATGGCGAGCGAATCTCCGCGTTCGAAACGCCCAAAATTGACCAGCGTTGAGCCGAGTTCGACGCAGAGTTCGTCGCCCCGCCGCCATAAGCGACGCAGCCCGCCGAGCAGCCCGCCATAGGGCCAGCACCGCCTGAAAGCGCAACTCGCGGCGCGAGCCGAGTCGGCTCCGCCAGCCGAGCCAAAGCGGCCGAGGGCGCAGCTCCTGGCGCGCCAGGACAAGGACAAGGACCAGAAGGACAAGGAGGAAGAGAAATCCGCGGCAGCGGAGAAGGACAAGAACAAGGACGGCAAGAAGGAGAAGAAGGAGAGGAAGGAAAAGGAAAAGGATACATCCGCGGCAGCGGAGAAGGGCAGCAAGGACAGGAAGGACAAGGAAAAGAAACTGGCGCCGCAGGAGGCGCAGGAGCAAGCGGTAAAGACGAGGCGTCTGCCCAAGAAGGAGAGGGAGCGGAAGAGGCGGAAGGAGGCGCAGGAGCAGGCGCAGGGGCAAGCGGAAAAGACGAGGCGCCCGCCCAAGGAGGAGAGGGAGCGGAAGAAGAGGCGGGAGGAGGCGCCGAAGGAGGCGCCGAAGGAGCGCCCGCCGAAGCTCGCGCCCAAGGGGGCCACGAAGAAATCCGCGGTAGCGGAGAAGGAGCGTCCGCCGAAGCTCGCTCCCAAGGGGGCCGACTCGGACTCGTACACGTGCTACTCGAGCTCGGACGAAGAAGCGGGCGCGGCAGCGCCGGCAGCAGCGGCGGTGCCGGGCCGCGGGCTTGCGCCACACCCGCATCAGCCAGTCAGCCGCGCAAGCCAGCCGCACCAGCCTCAGAAGGAGCCGCGGTTGCGGCGGCGTCTCCACGCGATGGAGCCGCGGTGGCGGGGAAGCGGAGGAAGAGCAGCAGCAGCAGCAGCAGCAGCACGGGCGAAGAAGCGGACGCGGCAACACCACCTGCACAACCCGGGAGCCAAGGGTCGGTAACGGAACAGGCCGACGCTCTCGGAGTGCCCGTCCCCCCACCAGCTGCGCGGGCACAGCCCCAAGAGCATTGGACTGGGAGCGCTTGGAGTGCTTGGGCCCACCAGCAGCAGGAGGCGCAGCGGCAATGGTTTGCTTGGGCCCACCAGCAGCAGGAGGCGCAGCGGCAGTGGCAGGCCATGCAGAGTTCGGAACAGCAGAGCTCCGCGGTCGCGGAGGGGGCCCCTGCGGGCTCCGAGCACGGCTGTGGCCAGGCTCAGCGCGTGTACTTGGACGTTGCCGAACAGGCCAACATCCCTGAGATCGCGAGCGACCTGCGCCGCCAGGGTCCTCATTTGCTCCTGTGTGGTGCTCTGGAGTAGAGCAGAGGAAAGAGCTCCGCGATCTGCTCGCCGCTGCTGGCGCGGAGCCTTCCGCGGGTCAGGGAGCCCGTGGTAACGGGGGCCAGGCGCGTGCAGAGGTGCGCTTCCTCTGCGAGTCACAAGGGCCGTTTGTACTGGCAGGGCGGGATGGGTACGTGTCAGAGGTAATGGTGCACCAGTTTCTCACCCTGCCAGCCGTCGACCAGATTGCGATTGCAGAGTTTTCTTTGTCCGTGGCCCTCCAGCAGATGACGTCCATCAAGGTGGCCGCGGTGAGTGCGACCTCGGCTTCGGAAGTGCCAGGATCCGCGGTGGCGGAGCAGTGGCAGAAGGTCCTGGGCGCTATTGCGCGCAAGTCAGTCCGATTCGTGGCTGGTAACTTCGCGAACCAGCTGGACGTGCTCCTCACAGCGTCGCGCGTATGCCTGCAGGTGAGAGCATGCGCCACTGTGCAGTACGACGCTCGCGCCGAACCTCACGAGGCATCCGCTATGTCCATTGTGGGGCCTGTCGGCAACGCGAAGGAGCGGCTTGGGAGCGATGGCTACACTATCACCCGCGGCGACGGGGAAGCGCCCCCCGAGGTCGAGGCGCAGATCGAGCACGTCAGGAAGGCGGTGCTCTAGCGTCCGTGCAGCGGCGGTGCGACGAAGGACAGATCGCGAGGCTGGCCTACCATTCAGAGCGCGAAGGAGAAGCAGCCGCAGCGTGTCCTAGAGCACACGAAAAATATTAACTTCTTTTTCGGACCCAATGCGCCCCGCCGCACCCGTGAGAAGGAGCGTCGGCGCGAGGCGAATCGCGAGCAGCGCGCGGAGAAGTGGGAGAAGCGAACTGGCAAGCAGCAGTCCTGGCGCAGGTGGTGACGCACCCGCGGTGGCGGGGGAAGTCTACTTACCCGCGGTCGCGGTGAAGTATGAGTAAGAGGCGACGACTCTGCGCAGTGACCCGCGGTCGCGGGGCCTCGGCGGACGCGCGCGCGCTCTTCGAGGCGCAGAAAAAGTGGAGCAGGACAGTTGGGAGGGTCTTGGCCGACTCTTACTCCTCACCTCTCTTACCTTTACTTTTACTGCGACTCGTACTCTTACTCTTACTCGTACTCGTACTCCTGCTCTTGCCCGTAGTTACTCTTACTCTTACTTTTCTTCTCACTACCATTCAAATTCTTACTCGTACTCCTACTCCTACTCTTACTCTTACTCTTCCTCTCACTCTCCGCTCTTGCTCCTTCTCGCACTTTTATTCTTCTTCCTACTATTGCTCCTTACTCCCACTCTTACTCTTACTCTCACTCTTATCCTTATTTCTTATTAGAATATACTCCTACTCCCCCCTCAGGCCGGCAGATAGCGGGCGCATCCGGGTGGTCCCATCCTAACCTGTAAAAAACAATACAAAATCAACATGTTTCTTTTTTTTTCCTCTCGACATGGACGTCCTGTCGACCACGGCGATAATCCATTGCAACAAATACCACAAAGAGCACACGCGCGCGTTCATGTCAGAATCCTACCGAACACCGTGTGTTTGCAAGCATTTCAACATAAAAACATCAAAAACCCAATGCTTTTTCACAAAATTGTACAAATTTCCCGCCCGGGCTCTCTTGCTGAAATCATAGGAAAACCATAGGAATCTTAAGAATTCTGTCAAATCCAGCGATTTCACGTCATCGCGCGGTGCACTCGCGATGCTCTGTCATGCACCCAGGCCGCGAATCCTGTGCAAAAAATACCACAAAGAGCACACTCGCGCGTTCATGTCAGAATCCTACCGAACACCGTGTGTTTGCAAGCATTTCAACATAAAAACATCAAAAACCCAATGCTTTTTCACAAAAATGCTTTGGGGTGTCCTGTCAGACCGTCGGGCTTCCTCCGGCCACCTCTGGCTTCCTGCGGTGTACCGGGCCATTCTCGACTCGTCTGGCAATGCGTGCGCGGCATTCAACACGCGCTCGCCAGTTCCCGTCGGCAACCGCCATCGCGGCCGCATCAGCTGTACCAAACCGGCTGGCCGGTGTGACTTCGGCCCCCAGTTGTGCCAGCTTTGCTTCTTATGTTGTGGGAGGGCGGGTGGGACTGGGCATGCCATGCTTGACTCGCTCGAGCTGGCTAGCTTGACTCTTACTCTTACTCTTACTCTCCGCTCTTACTCTTACTCTTACTCTCAGCCTGACTCTCACTCTGACTCTTACCCTGGCCCGCAAGAAAACGACCACGACGGCGACAACGACGGCGACGACGCCGACAATGACGACGACGACGACGGCAGCGACGACGACGACGAAGACGACGGCGACAACAACGGCGACGACGCCGACGAGGACGACGACGACGACAACGGTAGCGACGACGACGAGGACGGATGCCAGAGCGCTTTTCAGCTCGAGATTTACATATCCCACATGTTGGCTCTGGAGCAGACGGGGCTTTACGACGATGAGGAAACGATTGCCGCCCGAGACAGGGGGGCCTTCATTCGGCTTGCTGTTGTCCGTGATCGGACTTGTTCGTGGGCTTGGCGAATGGCGCCGCGATATCGGAACGTGTTCGCCCTCGTCCTCTCAGCCCTATTCCCAGGGGGATTCGTTATTCCCGATTGGGGTCGAGTGCTTTGGCGGTGCGCATTGGCGAATGCGATCATGGACCCAGATCACGTTGCTTCCACAGACATTGACAGCGACGCCGAGACGAATTAGGATTCCGGGCGACAAGGCGGCGGCGACGACGATTCTGTTCTACTGCGACGCAGACACGTGGGCTCAAGAGCAACTTCTCGCGGGGGGGGGGGCCTGGGCGCTCGCGCGGAGCTTCGACGAGTGCACGACGCAGGACCAACACCCGAGGCCCCAGGGCGCGGTCGGCAAGGCGCCGCGCCTGGGCTCCAGTCGGCGACTTGGCGACCTGGGCCGAGGGCCCCGAAGAAGACGCGATGGCGGCGACAGGAGGTCAGCCGCCAGGGCTGGAGGAAGGTGCAGCCGCGGTGGCGGCGGAAGGCGGTGCTCAAGCCGCGGTGGCGGCGTCGCGAGCAGACTTGGACGCGCTGCCCGTGACGCAGTCGTGCAAGCTGAACAGCATCGCTCTGAAGTGGGTCAGGGACACCGCAGAGAACCCTCCAGGGTTTCCAGTAACCCCGTGCGTCGACATCACCGACTCGGACCCTATGTGCGTAGGCGTGCTCGAGCGCACCACGGGAATGGCATGCAGCTTTAGGGGGGGCGGAGGGGCGCAGCCATGGTCATGGCGGCAGATGTTGGTAGCGCCCAAGCCAGACGTGAAGGACAAGGTTCTGGGATCTGATCCCGCGGTGGGCATCGCGCACATCGCGTGCCAGACCGTCGACGCGCGCGACCGCAAGCGCTGGCACGCCGCGCTTCACGCGGGAAGGCCTTTCGACAAAGGTGTTCCCGTTCCCGCGTGGGACTCCCACGTGTCCGCGCCGACAACGTCGTCGCGAGGTTCCACGCAAGCCTGACGAACAACAAAGTGGAGGTTGCCACCCATCGGAAGTGGCCCCGTCCTGCCTCGCCCGCCAGTGGCGGGGAAGGGCAAGTCAGATGGTCCAGGCACGTACAGGGCAAAGACTGCAGGGAACTACGACGCTCCGTGCCGCGGCACTGGGGTCGCGGCGCAGGCCGACGCTGAAGGATCCGCGGTGGCGGAGCCAGGGGATGCCCAGCAAGAAGCAGCCGCGCAGACCGCCGCGTCGGGGCCTGCGTCGCACGCCGCTGCGGGAGAAGGGGCTGAGCAGGCAGACTGGCGGGAGGTCCTGGAGCCCGCCTTGTAGGAGGCGAAGCAGGAGCCCACCTCGGCCGCGGGTGGTGCGTCGAGCGGCGCAGAGTGGTGGAGCGGCGCAGACTGGTGGAGCAAGGGGGAGTGGAAGGACAGCGGCGGAGACTGGAAGGACAGCAGCGACAACAAGTGGTCCCGCGGCGGAGACTGGAAGGACAGGGGCCATGGCAATGGCCAGGGTGGCGCCAGCAGTTCCGCCGCAGGCGGGGCAGCTTCGGCAGCCGAGCCTTCCACGGAGGAGAAGGAGCAGCCGAAGAAGTGGGGGTGGTGGCAGTGAGGACGTCTGAGCATATTCTCCGCGGTGGCGGTGTCGTAGAAACACAGGCGGTGGCGAGGGCCGTGCCCGAGCATCCGTGCGAGGGCGTCACGCGCGGCGCGAAAATATTATCCCCGGGTGCTCCCCGTGCCTCACTTTCGCTCCCCTCCTCTACCTCTTCCTCTCTCTCGCAGGGCGACTTTCATGTATTCGCCCTTTGCATCGGCCTCCATTTCCTCGATCTGTCTCCTCCTCCCTGCGCGTCCAGCAGCGCTCTCCCTCTGCGTCCGTCTCCAGAGGCCCCGCCTGACAGCCATCGCCTGGCGATGGTTGTCAGGCTCTTGGAGTGACAAGCATCGCCTGGCGATGGTTGTCACATGGTGCCCCCCCTCGCTGAAGTTTCCGCGTTGGCGGATCCGGCGGCGTCTGCGCGGTTGCGGAGTTTTTGAGCAATGTCAGTGGCCGACCTGACAAAGTTCAAGCTTGTCGAGTTTCAGTTCGGTCAGGTTCACGCGCGCGGAGGGCGCGCTGCGAAGCTTGCGCCACTGACCTCGAAGACCGTTCGCTCCAAGGACGGGGCGGTTGGGGACACATTCGCGAAGTTGGCGTTCACAGACAACTGGCTGATCGGCCTCACAACGGGCCAGACGAAGCACTCCCAGAGTTCGTTTGGTCGCACCGCCCTACTCACCGACCTGCGCACCCACGTGGAGAAACTCTGCGACGGTGAAGAGGCGCCAGAGTCCGCAGACGGGCAGGAGGTCAACGTCAAGGGGGACGACTACGACCCGATGGCCGAGATCGGTCAGAGCAGCTCTGGCGCCCCTGGAGGCGCCAAGGTGGCGGCGATCCAAGGTGTCAAGCGAGCCCGCTATTACAAGAACCACTGCAAGAACACCGCGGTTACGGTGGGCATGCCCGCGCGGTGCCCCGAGGAGGATCCAAAGTGCACCGAGCTCCGCAAGATCAAGCTCTTCATCGAGGATCGCAAGCAGATCTGGCTCCGTTTGGATGATCTGCCCTGGGCGGTGCAGTACTTATACGTGCAGAACATGCTGAAAGGCGCCCCGCTGGTTTCTCCCGACTCGGCAGGGCCAGGCGGCGCTTAGAGACACCATGGCAATGGTTCGGGAGATCAGGGGGATCTCCGAAGAGACCACCAAGGACAGCCAGTCATTCCTAGAAGACGTCAGTGCGTGAGTCAGGGTTTAGTCGCGCACGAGGCTCCATGGTTATGGAGGGCAGGGGTTGTCACACTCGGGACGTCTTCAAACTGCAGCGGCACATGGCTGGGCCCTTGTAGTTCCCGCGGACACAAGCACAGCTCGAATGCCTCATCCGGAGCGCGCGCGATGAATGACGCCCCCCGCTCTTGCCCGGCGGGCGTCCTCCTCCGAGCCCTCCTTTTCCATCGTAGTATTCCGTCGTCGTCGCTATTTCGCCCTGTCGTTACTCTCTAGGTTATCCCTACTGTTACTCTCATTCTAACTCACACTATCAATCACACTCTCCCTATTTCTGTTAGTCTTACTCTTGCTTTTACTTGTTATGTTCTTCTTATTCTTACTCTTACTCTTACTCGTAATTACTCTTACTCTTACCCTGACTCTTACACGTACTCGCACTCTTACTCTTACTCGTACTCTTACTCTTACTCTTCGTCTCACTCTTACTCTTACGCTTACTCTGCGTTCAAGTCCTGTTGTTACGGTTCCTATGATTCTTACTCCTCGAACTCTCACTCTTTCTTGTACTCCTCTTTCTCGTGCTGTAAGGGCGCTCATGCTTGAATGCCTCATGCTATTTTGTCTCGATGCCACGTCTGCAGCGCGACTTCGCTGCGGCGGCGGCGCAACTCGCGGTGGCGAGGCGCGCATACGCGAGCGCTCATGTCCGAGCAGGCTGACCAGCCCACCATTGAAACGGTAGCAAAACATGTCGGGGAATTCCACGTGATTGACGAAGCTGGGAAAATCTTGAAGGCCAAATGGGAGCACAAACCTTCGATCCCGACGAAGCGCCCGCTTGGGGTACACGGCTGGGCTTCCCATTGCTGGTCTGGCTCAGCGGCGTGGACGAGCGGTTTCCGTTTGCACGTGTGCGCCGCCGCCCCGTGCTTGGCCAAATACCCGCCGTCTAAGTATGGATCGTCGCTGCCCCCTCCTCACCACGTGCGGCTACTAGGCAAGTCAAGGCAGTCCCCTCGATTCACCACCAGTGGCGGAGTCGGCACTTGGAGTGCCACCCGTGGCACTCGATGCGCCGCCTGCTTCCGCGGTAGCGGAGTCGGCGCCACCTGCTTCCGCGGTAGCGGAGTCGGCGCCACCTGCTTCCGCGGTAGCGGAGTCAGCGCCCGAAGCAGCAGTGCCTCCGCCACCGCCACAGCCACCTCTGCCACCCCCAGTGGCGGCACCTCTGCCACCCCCAGCGGCGCCCGAAGCGCCAGCACCAGCAGCGCAACATCCAGCACCTCCGCCAGAACCACATCCATCTCTGCCTCCGCCACCTCTGCCACCCCCAGTGGCGGAGGAGGCGCCCCCCCCCGCAACAACCGCAGCCATCTCTGCCAGCCCCAGTGGCGGACACAGCAGCGGTGGCTCCCGCGCCACCGCCTGCTGTTACGTCCGCATCCGCAGAAAACGTCGCGCCGCCTGAAAAGGGCTGCGTTGTTGCCCATTCCCTGTGCCGCGCCTAGGCCACCAGAAGCGGCGGCAGCGGTCTCGCCAGCGAAGGCCCGTCCACTGAAGCGACCCGCGGTTGCGGGGCTTGACGTCGATGCCATAGACGTGGATGCCATTGACAATCTCGTCGCAGGCAGTGGGCTGCACGACGGGGTGGCAGCAGCAGAGATAAATAAGTTCGCATGCTCAATGGAGGGGGCGCGCGCATACATCGGAATCTCCATGTTCGTGATTTCTGCGTCGCGTCACCGGCGGCGCGTCTTTCTTTGGTTCGGGGACATATGTGAAGATGCATTGCTCAAGTATGCTCCGTGGGCCAATCATGCTGTGCTGTGAGTGCGGTTGCAAAATGCCATGCTGTCTCCTGTGCGTTTGAAGATGGTGGCTCAATCCGTGGTTTGGGTGACGAGGCCATGCTTACCAATCATTGGGTGGCGGGTTTCCCGCTCGATGGTGGCTCCATGGTTATGGAGGACAGCTTGGCCGACAGCACGTGCGAGCAGACCCGCTTCTTCTACGCGCAGCATCTGCCCCGCTCCGTGCAGCTCGCGGCAACAGTTGCGGATGGAGATTGTGGCCTCGACGTGATGTGTTGCATGCTCGGCTGGAACCGAAGCAGCGTGAACCGGCTCGCTCTGCGTTGCGAGTTGTGCGCCTACATTCTCCAGCACGCGGGCAATCGAGCTTTCGTGGCGACGCTTCGTGTCTCGGGGGAAATCAAGGGGCATTTGGGGCCTTACGAGTTAGATGCTGCGGGCGCGGCGTTGGTCGGGGCGCGCGGGGTGGGGCATCGCCATGATGATGGCGTCGCAGCGGGCGCCCTTGTTGAGGGGCCGACGCAAGCAGAGAGGCACTACAGCGAAGAGGAGGTGCTGGCCCTCAGGCAGAGAACCACGCAACGGGCGGACGCGTTTTTGTTGAACCGCGACGCACCCCTCGCTCAGAAACGAAATGCCGAAGGCATGGATGGTGGACCACCAAGGGCCTTTGAACGAAAAGACCGCGCAGGGATTGCAGCGCGGCTGCTGGCCGAACGGTCTGTTTAAAGCGTTTGCCAAGGAGCGCCCCGCCCTCGCCAAGGCCACGTCTCTTGTCTCGACCCGAGGAAAAAAGGTCGGCGAGGCGACGTCTGTTGTCTCGAACAGAAAAGCGTACGCACGACTATTCATGCGATACCAGCGCACTGCGAAAAGCATCCTGACATCCGCGGTGGCGGGGCCCGTTGATGACCCTGCGGGCGCCTTGAAGAAGCCGGGGGCCCCGCAGGGCAAGCACTACAGAAAAGGTACCGACCGTGCCGTTCGGGACCACAACCGACGTAGAAGCATTGGCGGTGGCAGGCGCCGAGCGCGCCAACCCGTGCGAGAACAGTTGGCCGAATGGTACAGCATCATGCGGCACAGCGTTGACGTGAAGGTCATGTGCCGTTCCCCTAAGAAGGTCTTGTTAACGAAAGCGCTTCAAATACAACAAGAGTACTACGTGGCCCACATGAAAAGAAGGAGCGAACTTCAGACCGCGCAGACAAACCATAGGTGGTTGGGTGAATTCATGAGGGAGTACCGAAATTCCTCGCGGAGGCCGAATCGTAAATTCAAAGTGCCGCGCGTGGTCTTGGCGGAACGCCTGTCCATTTTCTGGGTCGTCGTGTCGAAACTACGGAAGCTGGTCATGCTGCATCGTGGCTGCGACCCAGAAATGCGGAACGTTGACCAATCTCCATTCCACATGAACGAGGCGGGAAGCTGCGAGTGGAACACGCTTACATCCCAGAACGCGGTCACCGCACCCTTGCTCGAAAACCATGCGGCGACAAGGGAGCGCTGGAGCGTGAATTCGGTTACGGGTTCTTGCCGGGAAAGGATTGTCAGAGAAGTGCCAGGTTGCGAAATTGATGTTCAAGGCAGAGGGTAAAGTGCTGGAGGGCAAGTTGAAAGCACACGCGGCATCTAGACACTTGCCCTTCAAGTTCTCCGCGGCGACGGCGCCGAGCGGTTCGTACCGAGAGCACGACATCTTGAATCATTTGGCTCCGCCGTGCGCCGCAGTGGGCCCTCCGTTCTGCCCCCCCCCCCCATCCTGTCCTCTCCCCCCCCTTCGATCTGCCCACCTCCCTCCTCTACTTCCCCCTCCCCCCCTGCCCTCCACCCCATTGAAACGAACCAGTCCCCCGCAGCCGATGCCCACCTGCGCCGCCAAGTGCCCCCGCGAGGGGCTTTCGGATTTGCTCGAGCAGTGGTTGTTACCGCGGGGCCCTGGCAGACGGCGGGAGTTGTTTCTATTAGATGCGCGCGCCCCTGGTCTCACTGATAATGTGCAACGCTTGTTCTGGACCCGCGG